TCACCACCAGGTGGTGATCAGTTGACAGCTCAGCTCCTCCCATCACCTGAGTGTCCAAAACATGTGGGCGCTGATCCAAGCATACAATGCCTGTACAAAACAACCAGGCAGACCATTGCAAGTGTAGTGTCGGGAAGGGTCTTGAAAAAATACAAGTGCAAGAAAAGAATTCAGGAGACACTTGCAAATTCAAGAAAACAGCAGAACCCCATGAGATACCCATCTTCTCCAACAAGACGTACAAATCCTATGCTATAAACTGGCAACAAAGTTATGTCCTTCTTGACGAGGGATGAGAATAGGTACTTAGCTGGAAAATCGCAAACAATAAGGGGGAAATTAAAGAAACCTGCATATGAGATTCCTACATGGGAGCCCAACTGCAGGATCTCATACCCTGTGTTCTGCCGTATACAGCCCTTCTGGATGGTCCAGCCATCCATTGTTGACAGAGAGACCTTCCTATATAAGGTACATGGAAACCTAAGTTCTTGTACAGTGGCTACATTCTCTTCGACTCATTGAGTGCAAATACTTAGATCAAATGTTAATATGCTGTGACTCAAACTCCAAGTATATACAGTCAATGTCCCAAGTGCAAAAAGAGAGACTTTCCTGTTGCAACTGAGGGGGATTTGCAAGCAAATGTCTTTTTTTCCACATAGAGAATAACAGATACTGAGAGAAAGTGAATGTCAGGTGGCAGGGCCCTGAGCATGCACGTGTCCAAAGGTGTCTGAACTCAGCCGGACTTCAGGATGAGGACAGTCATATTGCATCATTTGTAGTTGTTATGTCTTTTATGACTCTAGTTAAGCCAGTTTCAATGCTGTCCCTGACGGCAGCCCGACTGGAATCTATCCAGTATGTTGTGTGCGTCCAAGTATGATGGTTGAGCTGCAACTGTCTTCTCCAGAACTTTGGACAAAAATGGTACAAAAATGGGGGGTGCGGGGATAAACTAAAGCCATCAGGTGAGGATTCAACAAAAACAAATAGTGTCTGTGGGTCTGACCCAGGTATCTGTTAATAAGCACAGGTCTGTATCAATGTCAAGCACCATATTGTTTACAAGAAGTGATTTTTTTCCTATTGAGTTCAATAATGATCATTTTATTGTCTTATTATAGGGTTTAGGTTTATGAATTATTATTATAATAATAGCCACTATGCTTTCTAGATTCAATCAACTTTGTTAGATTCAGGGGGTGTCCCATATCATAAAGCACATGGGTTGATGCCAAACATGAATGGTGGGAAAATAAACTACGATAATAGGATTGCCGAGACCTGGGTGGTGCTTTTTTAAGTCAGACTGGAAATCAATTTCCATGTTTTGGGATAGCATAAATAATCTCCCATTAGGATGGAGACTGTGCCGCTAATGAAAACCAGGCTGTTCTCAAAAGAAGGTCACAATTATTTAAAAAGGTCATGTCAGATACATACCTCTAACTGGAAGATTAGCCTACTCTAAATTACATCCCCTCTATAATGGATTGGTAAGTGACTATGAACCAATTAGATTCTAACATTTTCATTTTGCTTTCACAAATTCTTCTTTAATACCTTTGATGGTTAGGATATAATAGCATCAGTTCCAGTGTGAATAACCAAGGTGGAGACTTCACTGGTGGAGTGTTAGTCCAACTTCGCCAATGTCAGGAACTCTGACCCCAGGGAAGCATTCTACAGAAACCGTTGCTTTACGATTGTTACAGACTCTAACGTTTCTGGCTATCGAGTCTCCAATTACTAGCACCTTTTCTGCTTCAGCAGACGCACTGTTGACAGCAGAAAACCTGTTGTTACGCGTAAGCACGACAGCTGACTGGTGTGCAGAAGCTCTCGGCTTAGAGCTTCTAAGAGCACATCTGACCTTGACTAAGGGCTTGCGTGTGCTGGCTACTGGTGCTGCCTCTGAACTGAAGACATTCAGGGCAGGAGAGACTACAGCTAGATCTAAGGAGGCTTTGTGCTCCGGTTGACCCATATCTATAAATCTGTCAATCTGCTTAAGCTCTAATAACATACTGATTTACACCTCCAATGTATGAATCCTGTCCTCCAACTCTACTATATCTGAACATTTCTGGGATACGAAACTATCGGGGATGTCTTAAGGGCAGTGTACACAATACATGCCGCAGGACGTCGAAAACATGGTTGCCGAACACATAATCACGACTTAAGGCCCATTCATACTTTACTTTTCTGTGTGCGCTTTCAGTCCATACGTAGGGTTTACTCATTTCTGTACTCTGCTTGTATTTGTGTTTGTTGTAGTACATCTGCCCTCTGCTGGGCTGGTGGAATATCATTGCTATATGCAAGCACCAACTGCGACCATCTGCATCCACAGACAAATGTAGTATGTATACATACATGCACAGACTGTAAGCTCACACAGAAAAGTAAAGTATGAAAAAGGCTTTACCTTTAACATTGGTTGTTGGCAGTGCTTGAAGTGGGAAAAAATAAGTGCAGGAACTCTAATTTTCCGACATTTGACATTTGTGCGGTGAAAAAAAAATCAAGTCTTTAGGATGTGTTGGTTCAAAAACTATTTTAATTTAATCATTCTTCCAAGCAATAACCTATAGGCATAGGCTACGTTTTTCTAATTCACAAATGGAATACTGAAAAACCATTAAAACAACATGTAGTCTTTTATCGGTGTCTATTCTCGGGCCACTGTCGCCGCGTCGGATCAGTTTCATTAAGTACTGGAACACAGAAAAAAGTGGCGGAACCCAAAAGACGAAAATACAGAAGTTCCAGAACTGCGTTCCAGAACTGCGTTCCGCTGCGTTCCGGCCCACTTCAAGCACTGGTTGTTGGAGATTGTCTATGCACAGGGAAGGTGGTTAGTACATCCAAGTTTGGTGATTTATTTATGGTCAATTTGCAACTACTCTCTGTCCAGTGCTGGTATACCTTATCGGGAAACCAAAATATACCCAATCCAAAAATTATGATTCACTTTAATCAGCATTAGCTGTGACTAACTCACAGCCACAAAGAGCATTATGTTTTCTGTGTAAACATATGCTTCTGAATTTAGGTTTTGCCTATGTCAATAAAAGTATTCTTTTGTTTCATGATGCGTACTTAATATAAAATAAACGGTCCATGACAAATAAGTGTACTGTTGCAGCCCTAGTTAGCTCTGGTCCTGCCAACTCTGATATATAATATAGATAGAATATATATATATCTTCCATCTTCATGGGCTAAGCCTCCATGCCTGTGATCGGAAGGTCGCCAGTTTCAGCCCCGGCCTCAACAGAATAGTCATGTCTGTGGGTCATTGAGCAGAGTTCTTAACCACCAGCTTTGTGGGCCCCACTACAGGTGGCTGCCCTTCACTGCCAAGCTTGCTCTGACATACATATGTATCTGTGTGTCATGGAGAGCAATATGAGGTGGGAGAAGGAGAATTTCCCACGGGGTTCAATAATGTGTCATCATAAAGACAATATGTATTACAAAATAATAGTAATGGAAGGAATATTCTGCTCAAGAATCAAGAGAGAAAATCTCTATTTCAATTGAAAAAAATATATCATATTCATATTTTACACAATTTACATTTTTGCTACTAATGAGGCAAAAAAAACACATGTAATGTTAGCCAAATAATAACAAGCCTAAATGCCATGGGCATGCATAATACATATAGGCATACAGCTGCAGGCACCCATGCTTGGAAAAGCAGGTGAGGCCTGCTATCCATTTCCCATCTTTCACCTCTAATACCCCCAGTGATATGCACTGCATTGATGAGCCCTCCCTCACCCTTATACAGGTGAGCACACTTGAGAAAGAGATGTGAGGGTGGCAAGCTGGTGTGAGCCAAATGCTGCAGCCAGAAATGTAGCCTAGAGTGGTTTGAAGGGAGACATGTCAGACAGGACACTCTGTAACAGTTCAGTTCAAACAGGCTCTATGCCTATGCATGCTGCTGCAGTGAGGCTTAACCCTGGGAATTCCTTAATTCGGGCACAGGGGAAAACACATCCATGATGTAAGTGGTTCTGGCAAAAGGAGAAATACACCCAGGTCAGGAAAACATGCCAGGAGAAGCACTGGAATTCAATAATCTGGCAAATTCATGAAGACAAAAAAAGGACTGGTTTTGAATTCATCACTGTGGCACTTTGTTTAAAGCATTTGAAAAATCCCTAGTAATTAGCTTAGAATTATTTTTGTTGCTTTGATAGCTTTTCCAGGATGTTGTTTTTCTAGTTGGACCTATTTGGAGTTCATAATTATGACAAATCTTAGTTCACTGTATACACAGTCCATTGAATCAATAAAGGAAAAAAGGAGTTGGTGATTGATGAAGTTACAGTGTCCGATACCATTTCAGATGAATTCGGATTCAGATTATGCATTGATGTAAAAAAGAAAAGCAATACAGTGAATGTATATCGTGCAAAATATTCCACCAGTGGCTTTATTCAGTTGTTTTAAACAGTCATCAATTATCTCTGGAAGAAATGTATGAGTAAATCAGTAGTAACCTTTAATGTTTATAAATTATTAATTAGTCCTTTCTTTTTCTTAACATATGTTTTATTTTTGTAGCCTGTTGTGTACTTTAAAATAGGCATCTTTGATTAACTCCATATCAGACTTCAAACTTTACTCAATGCAGAACTTCTTGAAATCAATGAAAATTGTATAAAACTTTTATTTTCCTTTTTTCCACTGTCAGTCTAAATTCAAAAAGTTTCTGTACTCATCATGTGCAGATCTTTGGTTCTAAAAGTTTGTTCTTTGTGTTTGTTCAGCTGTTCAGCTAATATCGTCCAAATTGCTGGGGTAGCTAAACCACCAAAAGGGTTAAGAAGTGAGAGAAAAGCCTTGTCAGGGCTCTAAAACAGCTCTTTGATTATCATAGCTCCACCCAATGCTTATCCAGTTACTAGCTACTCTGTACTCATTGGTTGTCACGATATAATTATGCAAGGTAGTGAATCCCTTGGGGGGTGGAACTAGGAGTGAAAGAACTCTTTTGGCAGTCAGAATAGAGCTTTTATTGAGGATATTTCTAAGCTAACCATCAGGGACCGAATAGCTGGACTGTAAAAATTTCAGAGCTGAATCATTCTTTTTTCATTCTTACGTTCTTTTCTTCTGTAAGATCCAGTGCAGCTCACAAAGCAGAAGCAAGCAACATGCAAGGAGCCTTCCCCTTAGTTTTGGAGTATCAGCCCCAGTGACAAGAGCAAATATTCAAAACCGCAAAAGAAGATCAGAAAACTGAAACTGTGCTGAAGGAGGTGGTTAAATCTCTGGCCTTTTTGAGTGTTCAGCACCCTCATATTGCCCTCCCTGCACTGTGCACAGGGTCTCACCTCCATCCCTTGCCTAACAGTTGTGGAGATGGGGCTGGGTGTCCTTGTGCTCTGTCTTTGTACTCTGAGCTGCCTGGAGCTGCTAGTTGTGGTGGAGGCTGCAGTACCCCTGGAGGACTTCTACCCATTTGGCCTGGATGAAGGGGATTCCCTGACCAACAAGCAAGATGATGGTGGCTCTGGGCTTGTACTAATCTCAGTGGAAATGCCATTCTTTGGTGACAGGCACACAGGACTGTATGTGAGTAGAGCTGAAATTTGTTTGGGGGGCACCTCTGTTGCCGGTGTAGGAGTGGAGCAAACTGAGCCAGTTTAACTTGTATAACCTGGTCACAATGCATTTCTGTGTTTGCCAGATTTCAGATTTTCTGTAAGCAGAAGTGTACAGCTGCAGTGTAACAGTAACAAGATCCATGTGGCTAAAATACTGGTGATTGATGGAAAAAATACATTTTTGCATTGTGTTGATGATGTAACAAAGCTCTGGGTGACTGTGGAATGAAATGCGTGCACAGGAGCATGGGAGATTGTGAATGTGAAAACAACAGTAAAGCATGCTTTGATTAGAGCTGGTCATGTATGAAATTCATGCCCAGCACATTGGAAATTAGATCCTTTAAATCAACACCATCTGTCATAGAAGTGCATCCTCAGCTGCTTTTAATAGAAGTTCCCTTTGTCTTTCTAATTACCTCTAACATTATGCAGCTGAAGTTACCTGCAATGCAGGTCACTGTTGAATGATAGGCATTCAGTGTGAGCTAATGCCCAGAATTATCCTGAAGTCTAAACAAATGCATCTCTGAGGAACATACAACATGTCAGAACCAAATACAAGGCTTTCAGTGGGTTGTAACATAAGAAATGAACTGTCTTTAAATGTAGTCGTAATCCCTTAACACAGTAACTCAAAAACATTATGATAGCAAAAAAAGGTAGTTTCACACATTTGATCCCATTAGTACAATAACTCATAAAGTATTTTACAGATCTTTTTCAACTTCTGCTGACATGTTCTAACTTTGAAGGTCTGGATCTGATCAAATTTTGAGACAAACTGCACTAAAACTGAAGCAACACCTTATAGTGATAACAAACAGAAAGGCAGCCTCAGACACTTGATCTTGTCAGCATGAAAACTCAAAAATTATTTGTATTTTCCAAACAATGGATGGGTAAAGTGGATTGGTTTAAATCAAACCAAAATGATAGCAATGGTGCTTGTTGACAGCAAAGAAAAGAGTGAGATAACTAGAAGCTTATCCTTGTGAAGAGGTTCAATCTATTTGTTATTATTTATTATATTTACTATTTTTTATATTACTATTTGATCTTTCATGGATCTTATTACCACTTCATAAAAGCGTTATATGAATGAGAATCTACACCTGAAAATCTTCCCCATGATAGACCCCAAATCAACCCAAAACTGGAACTGCATCACAGGGGCCAGCAGAAGATAAAAAAGGAGGCTGCAGCTGCCATGTTGTGAAAGCAACCATCTGCCATTGAAACATTTTTCGTGGATTTCCAGGTTTGGCTCGCAATCTCCATTCTAGTTCATCCCAAAGGTGTTAGATGTGGTTGAGGTCAGGGCCCTGTGTGGGCCAGTAAAGTTTTTCTACACCAAACTCACTCAACCATGTCTTTATGAACCTTGCTTTGTGCAAGGGGGCACAATCATAATGGAGCAGAAAAGGGCCTTCCCCAAACATATTTGGAAGCACAGAATTATCCCAAATGCTCATGGGAGTTTTACTTACACAAAAGTGTTCTGAGATCAAAAGGAAAAATGATTGATTCAGAGAGAGAACCAATCAAATTGTAGAGGAGGTGGGTCCAAGCAACTATAGAAGGCCAGTCAATCAGGTGTCTTGGTCCAGCCTCCTCTAGTTGCTTGGACCCACCTCCTTTACAATCTGATTGGTTCTCTCTGGATATGGGTGGGTGGGGGTTACAGTCCAGACTTTTTTGGGGCAGTGGGGAAAGAGGGGAAAGTGTTCAGCATCCTGACTGCTTGGTGGATAAAACCATTAGTGCTAGTAGTGCAGGCGTGGAGGATGCAGTACCTCCGTCCAGATGGCAGGAGACTGAAGGAGCTGTGGGTAGGGTCTTCAATGGTGACTGCTTTGCAGGCTAGGCGGGTGTAAGAGGGGTCTCCCACAATGCTGACTGCTTTGATCTTTGCTGCTGTGTTCACTATGCACTGCAGGGTTTTTCGATTGTTGGCAGCGCAGCTTCTAAACCACACAGTGATGCAGTTTTTCAGGGTACTTTCTGTGGTGCCTCGATAGAAAGAGGCCACGATTGGTACCGGGGCACTAGCTCTCTTTTATTTGTCGAAGAAGTGGGGGCTTTCATTGCTAGTGATGCAGTATTCTTTGACCAGGCGAGGGTTTTTTGTGACGTGCACCCCCGAAGAATTTGGTGCTGCTCACCCTTTCCAAGGTAGTACCATTTATGGTCAGCAGGGAATGTCAGGTGTGTGATCTGGTGAAGTCAATGATAAACTCCTTTGTTTTGTCCACATTTAAAAGGAGATTGTTGTTGCTGCACCACATGGCCAGTTAGTTCACCTCATTCCTGTAGTTGTAGTCTCATTGTTGTTGTTGATGAGACCCACCACTGTGGTGTCATCTGCAAACTTGAAGAAGAGGTTGGTGCTGTAGTTTGGTGTGCAGTCATGGGTCAGCAAGTGAAGAGCAGGGGACTGAGCACACATCCTTGGGATGCCACCGTGCTGAGTGTGATGGTGCCAGATGTATTTTTGCCGACTCTCAGTAAGGAATTAATTACACAGTGAGGAGTTCAGGCTTAGCCAGTCCAGTTTCTGTATCAGCTGTTGAGGAATGATGGTATGGAATGCTGAACTAAAGTCTATGAACAACATTCTCATGTAAGAGTCTTTTGTGTTCAGGCGGGTGAGGACGGAGTGGAGAGTAGAGGAGATTGCATCATCTGTTGATCACTTGACCCTATATGCAAACTGAAAGCGATCCAGGGCAGGGGGAAAAATGGATTTAATATGCCGCATAATAGGGAAGTATTCTTTGAAGCTGGATGGAGATGTCTTCTTTGGTATGGGTATGATGGTGGTGGCTTTAAAGCATTTGAGGACAATAGCCTCTTAATAGCCTTTTAATAGTGTTAAAAATGTCTGTGAAGAAGTCTTTTAGCTCCTTCATGTGGACTTTCAATACACAGTCAGATATATTGTCTGGACCAACAGCCTTACAGGTGTTAATCCAGGAGAATGCCCTCTTCACACTGACTGAAGACAGGCACATAATCTGGTTGTCGGGTAGGGGGTAGTTTTTTTGCAGGCATGGGGTTTAGTGCTTTAAAGCATGCAAAGAACTTGTTGAGATTGTTCAGCAGATGTTACTGTCACAGGTCTATGGTTGGGGTTTGTAGTGCATAATGGTCTGGATCCCCTGCCATAGGCTCTGTGAGTCTCTTTATTGTGTACTGGTGCTTGGCTTTTTTGATGGTGCAGGACATGTTGGCACTGGCTGTTCTCAGGCTAGCAGTGTCTCCAGCTTGGAAGCTGGTGTTCCAGGCCCTCAGCAGCTTGTGAAACTCCCGTCTCAGCCATGGCTTCTGATGAATCCATTTGGTGATGGTCCTAGTGTATGTCACATCATCAATGCATTTGGTGATGTAGGCTGTAACAATCTCTGTATATTCCTGGAGAATGGTTGTTAATCATTAGGGGCTGCTTGCTTAAACATGTCCTAATCTGTGGTGTTAAAGCAGTCCTGAAGTGCCGAGGTGGCATATCTGTATCTGCTTCTGAACTGGTTTGATTGCTTTCAGCCTTGGTCTCTACAGTATATTGGTATTAGTGTAACAGAGGTGTGGCCAGAAAAGCTGATGAGGGGGAGGGGAGAAGGTCTGTATGCTCCTTTGTGTGTTGTATAAACCAGGTCCAGAGTATTATTTCCTTTTGTTGGGAAATCGACATGCTGGTGTTTTTGGAAGCACTGATTTAAGGTGTGCATGATTGAAATCCTCAGCCACAATGGGAAATCGATCAAGACGGACTATCTGTTGCTCACAGATGGCATGATACAGTTCACCGAGTGCCTCATTTTTGTTGCTGTTGTTGGAGCTGGGGGGATAGTTCTAAAATCCCTCAGTGGATAGAACAGCCAGCACTTAATGATCATAAACTCCGCCAGGGGTGAAAAATGTTTACGGACTACCACACTATCACAACACCAAGCATCGTTGATGTAAACGCAGACTCCGCCACTGCGAGTCTTACCACCTACACCGAGGTCTCTAACCGCTCAGTAGCATTTTAACTGATCAAGTTGAATGGTGATGTCTGGGATGTTGTCAATAAGCCATGTTACTGCAGATACAAAAAGGCAACATTCTCTCACAATGAGCTGGGTAGTACTTAAAAGATGTATATGGTCCATTTTATTGTCCAGGGAACGTACATTTCCCCATGAGGGACAATAAAGGATTGATTATTATTATTACATTGCAGACTAGGATGGAAGAGACGGCTGGTCTGTATGTGCTACCCCTCTTCTGCTTCCTCTTGTACTATTTGCGGTGCCTACTCATCGGATCAGGAGCAGCAGTCAAGGTCGCTGATGTGTTAGGCTTGCAAAATAATCCTAGGCCCCGGAGTTCTTCTGCTTGAGCAGGTTCTAAGTTGAAAATGGCCATACTGTTGATGTTTAGGAGCAGCTGACAACAGTATTTTTGCCACATCGTAGACACACACGATGATGTTTTACATAATCATGATGATTCACAAAAACACAGACATGAAAAACACCATACTGTTGGGACAGAGAGCAGCCGTTGCCTCCGTACACGTCGCCATTGTTTAGTAAGCATTAAGTTCCCTTCACTGGAACTAAGGGGCCTAGTCCAACATCTGAAAAACAACCCCATACCATTATCTCTCCTCCACTAAACTTTTACAGTTGGCACAGTAGAGTTAAGCAGGTTACATTCTCCTGGCATCTGCCAAACCCAGACTCATCCATCAGACTGCCCAACAAAGAACCGTGATTCATCACTCTACAGAACACATTTCCACTGCTCTAGAGTCTAGTAGTAGCATGCTTTATACCACTTCATCCAACACTTGGCATTGCGCTTGGTGATGTGAGGTTTACATGTGGCTACTTGACTCCCGGCACACAGAGGAAGTTAGGAACTCTGCAGTTATTGAGTCAACAGAGCACTGGTGATTTTCAAGCACTATCAGTCTCAGGA